ATTCAAATATAGAGTAAAAAAAAAAAATAAAGTAAATGAACCTGATTTTATTAGTAAGAAGCTTGGATCAATACTGCGGTTAAATTGTAAACATTAAATTTATTTTAAATGATTAACACTGTATGTACTGTATTAATACCTTACTGTACTGTATTTTGTAAAATTATAAATCTATGTACTCCAGTTCATCTGAAGGCCTGATACCCCTAAAGAGTGAGATTTGGGGTGCATGATTTCTCCCCCTCTTATGCATGGGGCCCAGTGTAGCTGTGGTGACCCAGGCCTCAGACAGAACTCTCTGGTTTGGCACAGATTTAATATGGGCCTTCTCACTGTTTCCTATTGAACGGGCTCCCATACAAACACATGGGCTACCGGCGGCTTCTCCTATTTAGTTGTCGGTCAAGAGTACTTAATAATATTCAAAAAGACAGTGCGACACATCGTCCTCGTCTGGCCAAACAGGATGATCATTTTTCCTTTCTTTCCCGCACTTCCCCTTTAAATGAGACGGAACAGATGCACAGCAGTAAAATCTTGAAATAGCCTGTCAGAAAGTTATTATATTATTAAAGCAACAATATGTAAGCTTTTACCATGAAATATATACAGGTATGTAGCTTTAAGACAGTCAGCACTGCATATCCCTATATAAGTATGCCAGACACTCCGCTAGGTAAAGTTGGATCACCTCACAGCTGTCATTATCATTTGTATAATTTGTCTAATATTTATCCAAGCTCATAGCAAGCGCTGACTGCTTTTAACAAATTTTTATACTTACATGCAATCTGCCTGTGTTATTACCATTGCTAATAAGGATAATGAAAAAATAATCACAATTAACTTGAAAAAAAAATTGTAATCCTTAAATGTGTTGTTTTGTCAGGAATGTTCCACAGTATAGCAATAACTTTGCATTGATTCAATTACAGATGTGTTATTGGAGACCTTCTGACTTTCAAACAGACCTTCTGGCCTGTGACTTGTCCTGCAGACGTTGTTTGTTTCCCAAGAGATGGATACATATAATGCAATACGGTGAAGCAATAAGATTTTCATGGAGAAAAGCATTTGGCAGACCCTCCACCAGAGAAGTTTATGTAACTTCTGCCTTTACATTTTTCTGTATGAGTTATATTTAGTTTTTAGATAGCCAGATGAAAAAGGAAAATGTATGGCTGATTTTGCACGACCACAGCTCATTAAAATCAAATAATAGATACACAGCAATAAATTAGAAAAATACTCAGTCCCAAAAATCAAAAATGGTCAGATCACCTGACTATAAAAGATTCACACCCCAAACTGCTACTACTTTTATAACCAAGGTGAAATATAAATCTACATTTAAACATTTACATGTAAACATTTAGACACATGCACTCATAAAAGATACTGCAAGGTACAGTTTTCTCAAAGAGCAAAAAGATGCACTGTCACCCATGAGCAACTGGACTGACTATGTCTATTTGATTTGTGCACATGACATGCACTTTGATATAAAATAAAATATATAAATGAGACAAAATGAAGACAGGAAGTATGTGACATGTCTACAACAGTAATAGCTGCTGACAAATAAAGCCTGACGCACATTGTCCATGGTTTAGGTCCTGCTCCATAAAAGTGCGTCAGTGCTTTGAACATTTTAATTAAACTAAGCAGGACGATTCCCAGCCGGACTGCCACCACGAGCTGTGTACACTGGAGGACAAACAAGACCATCTTTTACAGAGCAGACATCAAATGCAATGTCTTCTTTTATGTCACCCTGGGCTCGCCATGTTGACTCTCATTATTTCTCAAATCCATCTGGAATTTTGATGGGCATGTTTTGAAAGAAAAGGCCCGAAACCACAGAGCAGCCATGTCTTCAAACAAAGGTCTTGTGGTGGAGTCTGTTCCTCGTGGTCAACAACAGCCTCTGCACTCACATACTAGCTCATGTCTGTCATTTTAGCCCCTACATCATGGCTATTATAACAACCATGGCAGTTTTCTAGTCACTTTCTTGGAAGCACACACAAATGGTGCTGCATTTGATGTTTTGATGCTTACAAAATGCCCCCAAAATGTCATGGGCTATACATGTGCGCATAGAAATATGATTTAGCAGACATAAACTACCATGTTGACACAATGTTTTCGTTGATATTTTTATGCAATTCTAGAGAAAGAGTAAAAGTTTCCCAACTGCCTCTGATCCATCACTCATCAATGTGTGCAGTCCGTGGTGGCCACTAGAGGGAGTCTCGTGAGTCAGAAGATTCCTAAGGACATGTCTCTGGAGATCAGCACTAAAGTGACAGCGGCATGGGTTGTTATTAATGTATGGCTAATTAATCAAAAGAGCGGTTGAAGCTTAGTGATATGTTTCTCATGACGCCAGTAGATTATATCAGTCATCATTAGTCACGCTGTGGTAATTGTCCCCATGCAGCGGCAGAGCCACGGCTGTCTCTGCAGACAGACTCACTGTTGTGGTGAGAGTCCTCAGTGTGAGGCAAAGCCTATTGTCACAGGCCCAGCCTAGCCTGCTCTAAAGCCCTATAAAAGACATTTCAGGTCGTTTGTCTGCAGTTTTCTGTTCCACTGCAGCACGTGTGGCCCGGAGAGAGAGGCCCTCCCTATTGGCTCTTATTTCCCTGCTCAGGAGGAGGAGGCAGGTAGAACTGTGTTACCTGAACGCACATTACCTGGCTGCGCATTCACCTGCGGGCACTGCGCCGAGATGGCTTCAAAACAAGGGCAGTTGAGACGCACTGGTAAAGAGTCATGAAGACTACCGGAGCATTCCACCTGCAAGCAAGAAGACAAGATCAGGAGATTTCGTGGTGAATTATCGGGGTCCAAAACAAAGCACTTTTCCAGAGCGACTTTTTAGACCAAAACCACTTTAAGCATCGCACCTGTGCTCTGTATCATGGATTTGGCACGGGCGGACACTGACCAGAGGATTCAGCTTGACGTGTTGAGAAACAGACGCCGTACGAGCATTTGGAAGGGTTAGGGAAGTCTCCAATGTGAACGCTGCTGTGCGCAACCCATATTTACAGTGCATGGCCTAAGGACTATCGATCATGCACAAACCCCTCCGAAAGCGGAGTCTCTACGTGTTCCTGTGTTTTGGCATCTTGTATTTGAAACTCGGGTGAGTGATTGCTGTTACCTGTGATTCCAAGTGCACGACATTTACGCACAGTTTTAGAGGCACGACAGGAACAACTGGCATATTTGTGTGTCGCCCTTCGTGACCTCACTTACACACACATACACACACGCACACACACGCACACACACACACACCCACACACACACACACACACACACACACACACACACACACACACACACACACGGATCTAAAACATGTACTTGCATAGGTTGTATGTAGGGGGTGATTAGAACTGTATCATAGCTTTAAAGGCCGTGCATCACAATATTAGAGGCACACCACTAGAGACAGATAGGCCTACTTAGAATAAAAGATTGTTTTAGCGGCAAAAGATAATTCGAGCCACTGTATCTGCTCCAAAAGCAGCGCGGCACCGCATTCCTTCATTAATAGCGGCACAGTGAGCTGTATTTCCACATTCCTTTGCCCACACGGACTTTTTACCTGTTTTGCAATAGCTCACCTTGATGCATAAACAGAAGGACGTGTATCTAATCCTACTGCACTTCAGCTACAGCCAATTCTCTCAGACGTTTTAAAATATGAAACCATTTCTGTCTCACGTCAACCAAAAGCGTGTGAGATTTAATGTTCGAATGTTTAGGGAGTTGAAATGAAACGGCTTGTAAGGCATGGTTCACAAGTAACTATGTGCTTGTGGAATTAGGCCTGAGGCAAGGCAGGCAGGGAATGGATGGGAACGTCCTGCTTACACCTGCAATAGGGACAGGCTATGAGATTAGGTGCATTTTAAAGCACTTTTTATTTAGACCTTTCGATTTTGCAGGCTATACGCTATCGCTTAGAATATGCAATTTGTGTAGGCCTTCAATATTCAAAACATATAATGCTGAAAATGATTCTCCAGTTCTTTTGATGAGAATGCATAATCATCCGCTCTTCATGCACCCTGTCAGACCTTTAACAATGCTAAGTTATTTTTTTCTTCACTGCTACGTATTCATCCTGCTGTAGGTCTCTCCTCCACCTGCGCAGGATGCGCATTCATTTATTTAGCCGCGCAGCTCCAGCAGCAGGTGCTACTGACAGTCACGGAGCACACGCGATAAAACTGTTGGCATTTTTAATCACATCACAGAGTAGAATTGTGTATGGGGAAAGAAAATCAAACCCAGGATAGTATATAATGAGGTAGGCTAAAGGTTGTGAATGCGCTTAAAGAACACAATATCGTCCAATGTATCCTCCTAGCGCACGGGTTTAGACTTTAACTTTACATTAGACATACTTGGCTAAGTGATGACCATCTTGTCCCCTCTAAAAGCTAGATCTGTGCAGTCCTAGACCAGCTTGATGGCAGCAGTGATTTTGGAGAAGGTGGAAGCTTTGCGCACGCACAGGCTTGTGGAGGGCAGTCTCTGTTTCCGGGCTCTGGCGGCTGGAGGGGGTTTGCGGATGAGTTGCTGAATGAGTATGAATGAAACCTCGTTCTTGTCTAACGCGGATCGGATCAGTGTCACTCTATTGTCCCATTGGATCCAAGTGGGCGGATTGTAGCGCGTCTCTGCCCAATGGCAGCCGCGTCTCTCATGAGAGCAACAAGAGGCACTTCTCTGCCATGCACGAGCCCTAAAAGCATCATCATCCTCAGCCTCAGTCCGGCTCGTGAGCTCAGACATGACACAGCCGATGTCCGCGCGCGCACGGCACCGGGAGCTCGGAGCTGCGTAGAGCCTGCACAGACTAGCAGCACGCGCACCACGTCTCTTCGTGATTGAGCTCAAACGGAACTTAAAGAAGAGGATTAACAGAACCTACGTTTTATCTGACTCGAGCCGCACGCGGCCGTTTGCTCCATGTCATCATGATCATCTTCTCGTCGCGCAGTGTGCTGCTGTCAGTCTACTACCCGCAGATCTTCCTCATTCTGACGAGCGGCAGCTACCTGTAAGTCCAGCCAATTAACTGCACTCATTAACTTCACACGCGCACTTGTCTTGAGTTAAGAACATACGGGGAGGACTTCATTCACCTCAATAAATATAGTTTATTTGGGTAATCACTTCTGTGGCCAGTGTGCCATGTGGGCACAGATGCACAACACTGTGCTATGTGGCATGTTCTTAAATTATATCAACTCGAAGTTATTCAGCACGCTAGGAAAATAATGTTATATTGTCCTCATAGACCACAGACGTCACGTTTTCAGTTGATTAGATTAGATTAGAACGCAGCCAATAAATGAATCATTGGGTAGCCTATAGTTTCTGGGGCTCAGTTTGGCCACAGAGTGGCAGAGATGTTCAAGACAATCGGATGCAGAGTCAGTGTTTTCTTGTGGAGTCGGCTGACCAGTGAGAGCGCACCCGATGTGCTCTTTACGCATTACCTCGCGCATGGTTAGCACTCAACCCCGGACTTTGTTAATACTGTGCCAGTCTGTGTGCACTTGATCGACAAGGCAATTCGCTGTGGCTTTAGAATGAAATAATAACGACTTGCTTTCTTAAATGCTTCCCAAAGAATGAGTGAGCCGTGCGCCGCGCGGAGAGGAGACCCCAAAGCTGACGCTCAAATAGATGTGGCTTTGGTCTGCAGCTGAAAGAAGGCTGCGCGGCTATCTTTAGTGATGGCCACACTGGTGTTTGTTTGGATTACTCTTCTGTTCAGAACTGGCCACCGCAATTAGTACAAAGAGCATTTACGGTTAACTCATACCAAAAGAGGGTACTTTCTCCAGCTGATGATCTTGGCAAATAAACAGCTCAGAAGGAAACTATGTAACACTTAATTTTGTAAAACCTCAGAAAAAGAAGAGCTTTTAGTCACGTGACAGCAAAAACTTGTGTCTTTGGTATTTTTTCCTCCTGAGTGCATTCCTGGGCAGAGGATGCATGCCTGGTAGTTTAATAGTGTGTCAGTTGGCTTCAAAGTGTTTGGGGGATGATTAAGTAGGTGGCTACTGACTCTCTTGGTTTCAGAGATGTTACTATTTAGGCCACACAAATTTTGACCCCATCAAAGCAATATTTTTTTTTATGTATTTATCATCAGGCCTTACTGAATAAAGCTGTAAGTAATAAATGGTAAAGAATGCAATCCACTTAGATAATGTATTTGAAGGGTCCCACCCAGCCACATGCTGCAGATATTGTTTTCAGCTGCAGCAGCTTCATACTTTCACCCAGGTCATTTGTTGTCTGGGTTTCACTAAGTGTCCTGATATCCACGTGCTGAGCAAACATCTGAGCACAAGGGGGATGTAAACATTTAAAAGATTACTGTATTTTGTTGTGTAAAGTACAATGCTATTCTAAATAAAAATTAAAATTGTAGTTAAAAGCACACTACATAACCTTTCTGGTAAGGGAGCCTTGTTTCCCTGGAGATGTTATTGCTATGTCAAGTTCCACAGTATGGCATTAAAGTCATCTATCTTGCCGTATTCAATTACAAGTATTCAAAAATATTTTGAAATACAGGCGTTTTTACTGTGGAATATTCCAGGCAAAGCAGCATCTTCTCCATAGCAGGTCAGTCTCCACCAGAAAAGTTACATAGTACACCTTTAAAGCTACCAGAAGATAATTACTACACCAAGTAACCTCTACTGTGTGAACTTCCCCATTATGTCCAAACACCCCCGAGTCCTTTTCAATTTGGACAGAGATGTTCCATTGTTGCCGGGGACGACGGTGCTCAATGGGGTCACAGGGGTCAGAGGAGTTCACGCCTGTTTAAGTGCACACAGCAGACAGGATCCCAGAGTGCTGCTGTTTACCGAGGGCCCTAAATGCACCTGACTCTTGCCATGCTGAATGTTTCACAGAGCTGTGTTAGAAGCATTTTGATTGGAGCATAAATCAAACTGGACAGACTCAAAGAGGGACACATGTATTTGTACAGGAGATAATGATGAGTGATGCAGTAGAAGTGCAGAGCAGATACAAGATGTGACTCTTCTCCTGGGGCTTAGACTGTTGGTGGTGTTTAAAATGAAAAGGTCCAAAGAAGTGAGATCCTGCACAAAGGTGATGCTGTGGAGGAGGAGTGCTGTGTGAGCTGAATAGTTTAAAGGAGACATATTATGCAAAATAAACTTTTATGAGAATAATTGCCATGTTATAATGGTGTTCCCAATCATTATTTTACTCAGTATTGTGTTTTGATTGATTCATGCATGTTTGAGTACTCCTGTTGTCCTGTATTGTCTGGCATTTGAGGCTTGAGAGTTCAGAAAATGCCTGTTTTTCATTAGCCCCCACCTCTGCCCACATCCATTTACTTAGTTGCAATTATTTTCAAAAAATCAAGACTCTGAGTGATCCATGCAGGGTTCTAAAATTTAACATAGCAACTTTTCAAAAGTAAAAACATGGAAATGGCAATCTGCTGCTTGCTAATTTCACTATAAGGTGGGGCCTGTCAGTACTGCAGTTTTGACACAAAGTCAATTGTACCATTTCTGTTATAGGTGATTTAGATCAACACTGCGGTTTGCAATGAAAAAAATGTAAAAGAATAATACTGTATGTCTTTTTTAAAACAAGTTGGCTAGGCGCTGATGTTGTAATGGGCATGGCAGGGCAGTGGCTTGTGCATGTGGCAGTGAGCAGTAAGAATAGGTGGACCTGGCAGTGTAGACCCGAAGGTGAATCTTGTGCAGGTGAAAACACGAGTCACCCAGTCTGAACCTTAACTCATGGTCCATTTTTGAACCACTACACTGCACTATTTTAAGTTTGAATACATGAATTAGATTGCATTTAGGAAATGAACTGATGAAATATGCGCTCTCTATCTTGCAAGTAGGAGCAGTTTTAAAGACTAGAATAGAATATTGATTTTGTCTACCAAGGAAGAAATTAATCTTCAGCTCACCACCTCATAAAAACAGCACAAGGACAACATAAATAGAAGCAGTATTTCGCCTAGAGTATGGCACTTAGTACAGGAATTAGAACATCGCATTTCAAGCCCGAGAAGACTGAATAAAGGTTAATGCCCAATGCAATACTAGAAGCCTAAATAAACATGTGGTGAACAATGACAACAATGAGAAGGAATAAGATATGCAGATGATGATGTGTAGCTGATTCACTGTAGACAATGGTTAAAAAGGAATAAAAGGAGTCGATTTTACACTATTTTATGCATTCACTAGAACAAGGATGCCCTTTTATTTGTACTTATTCATCAAGTGATGCATATAGAAAAGTATGTAAAATCAATGAGGTTTGGAATCTTAAAGGTGCACTGTGTAACTTTTCTAGTGGAGGCTCTCAACTGCTTGTCTCCATGGTGATGTTTTGCTTGGGATGTTCCACAGTATGGCATTAAAGAAATATATCTTGTATTTATTCAATTACAGGTGTTAACCACTACCACAAAAAAACATAATTATTATTGTGAGGGGGTCCACTTCTCTGCAAGTCTGACCTGTAACATGGCCTGCCTGCTTGTCTCCATGGAGATAGTTAAATTAAATGCCATACTGCTGAACATTTCAGGAAAAAACAACATAGAGTCAAGCAAGTGGTGAACCCTCTACTAGAAAAGTCAGAAAATGCACCTTTAATGTGAGCTGTCTTCCTTTTGTGATCGAGGGTTTCCCCAGTCCTTACCCCAGATGCCCTTCCCATCTAAACCCTTGGTGAAACATTGTTACATCTCATTATCAAGCTTAAATATTTTAGACCTGTATCATTTACTTTCTCTTCAGTTCAGTGGTTGCTTTTCAGTGCTCCAGTCTTCATTGGCTATAGCCCTGATTGTGGTGAAGGCCTCTCATACGTCACACTTCAAAAGATGCTGTTATTTGTCCGAACTCATTTATGGCTCCTCGCGTCTGACATGTTTGAAAAGTATGTGTCTACAGAGTCTGCGCAGCTATAAACACCGTGGTGCTTTGCTGTAATCTGTTTTGGCTTTGCCCGTGGTCACAAGCCCCACCGCCCGACATGTGTTTTGATATTATCACATTGACTGAGCAGACGTGATGAGGTCGGGGTGTCATTTTACTCAATGCACAATAACAATCCACAAACCTGTGTTGAAAGCTTCGCTGTGCATAGTTTCCACACTCACAGCGATCTGAACGAAAGCCCATTGGTGAAATTCATCCTCCGCGCTTTTAGACGTGAAATATGTTTTGAGCAGGTCATAACTAATAGTATTTTGCATGACATTTGGTTTCGAAGTCAGAGTTGTGGGTTGACATCATACGATACAGAGCAAGTGGATGTACTTCTTGGCATGTCCTCACACCACTGCGTTACCTAACAATTAACGCGAAACCAAGTCATTACTCAAAGTACCACCATCCAAACCCATGCGGAACGGCGTGTCAGAAGTCGAATAAGCGCTTTCTGTTTTAACAACTTTTCCTGTGCTTTTTAAAATGTTTTATGTTGGATTCAATTTTCAAGGTTTGATGGGCTGCTAATCCAATAGTTGTGTAAAAAAAATATGAGTTTCAGAATGCTACAAAATGCTCATTCATCATCACAGACAATTTGACAGTCTCTAAATGAGAAACACTTTTAGAGAACACTATGAAGTCGGGACATATGGCACCAAGGCTTGAATTAATAATTGTAAATACAGTTTGGCTAGAAATGTATATATGAAATGTTCTTTAATGGCACGCACATTGTCTGGGCATTGAAAAAGTCACAGTTCTTACTTATAACTGCAAAATAAAAAACATACTTTGACTACTCCAACTACAGATAATATTATAGTAACAACAACAGTATTTTTTGCTGTTATTGGCATTGGTCCTAGCCTCCTACTATCAGAGTGTGGTAAATGTATCTCGCTTCTCATTACCTTAACTATCTTACCTAACTTTAAATAGTACTGTAATAAAACTTGAAAAAACATAATAAATACATAGATTATAAATAGTTTATTACTGCAGTATGTCACATACAATAAAACTGTAGTTTTTGTTCTACAGTTCTATAGTCCTACTTAGTAGTGCTAACCGTATCTTTAAAGGTTAGCACTACTAGTTAGTCACTTAAAGGTGCGACTTTTCTGGTGGAGGGTCCACCACCTGCTGGTCTTACCTTCAATGAGATGTTATTGCTTTGCTTGAACGCTTTACAATAATGAATGAAGAATGCATATTTTTCAAATTACCTACATATTAAAACACTTGTGATTGAGTAATGCAAGATACGCTTAATGCCATACAGTAGAACTTTCCAGGCAAAGCAATCAAATCTACATGGAGACAAGCAGTTGGTGGATCCTACCTCAGAAAAGTAGTGCCCCTTTAACATAACCCAACCCTAACCCTAATGGTTTTATACTTGTCTTGCTATGTCTCCACTCATGATCTTGTGTGCATTGCAGAGCCCTGTCGTCCGTGGTCGCTCTGGGTGCCAACATCATCTGTAATAAGATCCCCGGATTGGCCCCTCGACAGCGGGCCATCTGCCAGAGTCGGCCGGACGCCATCATCGTGGTGGGCGAGGGTGCTCAGATGGGGATCAACGAGTGCCAGTACCAGTTTCGCTATGGCCGCTGGAACTGCTCGGCCCTGGGAGAGAGGACGGTGTTTGGGCAGGAGCTGCGAGTAGGTCAGTCTGGGTCCTAGCAGCTTGTGTCGTGAGTCACATTTTTGTGCATTGCAAAAAGACCATAGTAGACTTGATTTTTATGAAACTTGTCGAGGAATTCTGCTAAATGTTATTACCAATAAGTATCACCAACTTCTAGACATGGTATTTTATTATCTGATTCCCCACTAATAAATATTAGTCCAACTATGCAATCATATGACTCATGGGGCATGGCAAGTTACCTACTTGGCTTTGTAAATTTGAATTCCACTCTGACAGTTTACAGAATAGGTCCATTCACGTGCAATCACAGCTTCTATGGTAGAGTTTGCTGTGTAATAGTTCGATTGCAGACTTGTTGACCTGGTTTATTGGTAATATCCCTAGCTTTAAGTTCAACATCTTCTCTGTCAGCACAAATAAACAAATGTGGTGCTGTTATTCAACCTCAAAGACATGATAGTTGTCAGTTGAAAGGACTTTAAGACAGATTAATATGGCAAATTTGTAGAGCCAATCCCAAACAAATAATGATAGGGTTCAACATTTGTGGATCATAAGTTTGGATATTTCTTCCAAAAACAGTGGATCTCCAGTAGAGTTAATTCAAGCCTGTGCCCTCCATCTGAAATTATCGCATCACAGAACCTCTTACATCAAAACAGATAATTCAGGAGTGATCTTAAAATCTTGGGGTAAGAGCCAGGTCCCAACCCTAAGTCTGCATACAGGTTGTGTCAGGTAGGGCATCTGGTAGATCATTTTAGGAAAAGCTGAAAAGTAAGGTTGAAGTATAGTAAATATAAAATGTGCAAAACTCCCAGTTACATAAAAATGAATCAGGATAGCTGACTCTTTGGAGATACTGAGTCACTTTTTTATACTGCTACATTGAAGAAATATGTAAAAAATTCAATTGGACCATAACAACCAAACTCATAAACATACTAGTGCTTACAATACACTCTGTAACAAACAACCCAAAGTTTACACCATGAAAGATTTAAAACAAGATGTGGTTTGAATATTTTTACGGTAACATGATGTGTGTGCTCACAAAGAGAAAGACCTGCCAGTAATAATAGTCACAATAAAACTAAAATGACAGTTATAATCTGCGTTTTGAGCCATCCTATTGTCTTTGGTTTATTACAAATCTTTAAAATGTGGTACCAGCGCCCGCCCTCTGAGCTACATGAAATATGGCCGCTCTGTAGCCAAACCCAAGCTCCACACATCACACGGTCTCCAGTCAACGCAGGAACACGCAGTTTCTTTCAATGTTTGTTGAGTAACCACTTGACAGCACTTAAATAGGCCAGATCCCTCCCCATCCTTTTCCTTTTCTTCCAGAATATTGCAAATAAGAGTTTTGGTAATGGTTTTTTCGTGAGAACTTTTTTGCTGGATTTTTACTACATATTTGAGTCTGATTATTGTTGTCACGATACTAGCATTTAAATCACAATTTCAGTAAAAGACTTGATACAAACTTTGACACCATTCAAAATTTGTATACCATTTGATAAAAATCTGCATATTTTAACCTATTCAGAAAAGGTAAAATGAAACATTTTCGAGAGCCAAGATCACAATTTTGATTTTATCACAATTTAAGCAGTTAATATTCCTTAGAATTCTTTAAGAAATATCTGAAAGCACACTTCACTGTGATGGGTTAAATCCACCTGTCACTCACAGGTATAATGGAAGCTGACCAACAGGAATAGAGGGTGGAGAAAAGTATCTGAGTGTTAGAGAATAGTGCTGCAAAACAAAAAAGTACTGAATCACAATTCTCCAAAATAGCATATTGTCACAGGAATCAGATTATAATTTAGGTCCTATTACAGAAAAACATTGTGTTGTTATATTAATAAGGAACAGCATCAGCTCCCATTGTCTAACATGAAAGTCAGAAGATGTGTGTCTTTTATTAAGTTGTTTTAGATGAATATTGTGATTTAGAATGTTCACAATGATCCACGGGAGTCATAGATTATAGCTATCTAGCAGACACAAGCACAATACGTCTTCTTGAAGCCATGTTATAATTCTGTTATCTCATCAAAAACATACCCACAGTTTTGTTTTGTTTCATTCACACCTTTATTGTTTATTCTCCAAAGCTCAAAATGCTCTGTTCTACCTTGTGATATCAAGTAGTGGTTGTTTTCAAGTTATCTTTTACCTTTAGTTAAGTAGATAATGACAATTCCAGGGCTGAAATCATCCAAATTATGCAAGTGAAAATATATGGAGTTTAAAAATACAGTGGAACACTTCCTGTGTTACCACATGACATCACAGGGTGGAGAGTGTTTTCCATTTGGGATAAACTACTCCTAAAAATAAATATGTGGGGTTTGTGTGTTAAATTGTGTGAATGAAACAAAAGAAAACTCCAGGTATGTTTTTGATATTTTGATTATAACATTATAGATCAGAAAATAGCATAATATGAGTCCTTATTTTAATATTATATCACTTCCTTGTTCTAAGTATTTACACAATTGCACCCCTGAATATTGACAGCTAAAATTACTCACGCATTCTACTTACAGACTACTACTTGTACTTGCACATCTTCAATACTCATTCAACTTTGAACGACTCTGCAGTGCTCTGGTTTTTGTATATGGATTGTCAGTAATGAAGCACTTGGTTAACAGCATACCAGCTTTAGCCGATGTTGCCAAAGTTATGGGCAAGCTACCGAGAAGAAGCTCTAATGAGAAAAACATACTGCTGAAAAATGATATCACAAACAAAGAGACGACTAATGATGCTATTTCAGAGAGGGCTTGGTGAGCTAACATGGTCGGACACATCTGTTGTCGATTGGGCTAAATTGGTTGTGTCCATGGTTCATGCGTACAAGCACAAAACATCTTCAAGCAGGCAAACATTTACATTGACAATGCTTTTGTTTGAGAAACTTGGCATTCCACAGACCTCTTTAGAATCCCATTTGTTTTACAATGACTTTTATGTATTTCCTTACAATTAGAATAGGCTTTGTGTTGCATTTTAACTGTGGTTTGCGTGTGCATTTAAAGTACTGGTTCAGCTAACAATGTCTCATCTCATTTCTCTTTGTTCTATATGTTAAGCTTTCTTTTGCAATGGGTTTTTTCTCAATGCTGGGCCTCTTGCTTTGAAGTAATTGGAAGTATTGGTCAGCTAGCATAAAGAAGTTCTATGGCATACATGCATTCTGTATAGTGGTTGGAATTTACAGTAATTTTTGAAGTTGGCAGTTTTAACACAGATGTCTTTCCACAAGATATATTGAGCTAGTTTTCATCTCTTGCAATTGTGGTACCCAAGTGAATGCTTTTGGCCATGACTGAATCTTGTATAGTGATTAAAGGGCCTGTACCCAACTGTTCACATGTACCTGAGCAAAATTGGTCTTGCCCCTGTACAGATATTTTGTATAAGCAGATTTTGGTGTCAAAATATTCTAGCTGTTGTTAGCTTTAATAACTTTAATAATTAGGATGCTTGAAATGCATACGGTAGGTGTGGAATAACATTGGACCATAGCTGTTAGAAATGTAGTTCTGTTTTTCACAGGTACCTTTAGTATATGGGGGAGGAGTGAATGGGTCATGGATAAATATGTACATGACCTTAAAGTCAAGTCTGGTCCTTTGGTTTGGTGTCCATTTTGGACTGGAACAAATAGATATGATTGCATGAGTCAATAATGACAAGACATGATCCAGGTCAAGTCTGACTGAACTGTTGATGTTAAATATTGCCACGATGACAGCTTTGTTCAGTACATTGTGGTTGATGACTTTCTTTAGGGTTTCCACTTTCTCCCACTGCTCAAAGTAATTCTTTCCTTGCTTGTTTTTAGCAATGTGGCAAAACACCCATACAATCATCAGTCCTAACATCAGGACCACTGAAATGTTTTTGTTTGTTTATCACTGGCATTGAAAGCATGTTGAAGTAAATGAACATTGCATTATTACATGTTTTTTTGTAGGTAGGAAAAAGTAGCAAGAGCAGAGATATGATGTTGCAAGGTAACAAATGACTGGCAGAAAGCTTGGGTACTCCATTTTCCTCCCTATACCTAAAATATTCACTAAAGATAAATTCTCCAGCTAAGACACCCCTGAGCACGCCTAGCACAGCATCCAGAGATGGGCAACTGTGCATAGCACTGCTACAGACTGCCCTTGTGGCAATGAAGAATGGCTCAAATGCAGAGACGAAGCATTTTCCTACAGGTACAATAAAGTGTACCTAAACATACCCTAACATGAGCAACTGTAGTTCAGTTACTACTGCTGAAGATGTCCATTCTAATAGAAAAGGTATCAAAATACATTCCATGACAAAACGGAGGTGCTAAAATGCACGCCCCTGCCTGATATGTATCATGTTTATTGCATTGCCCTGATAAAGGCTAAAGTGGTGTAACAGATTTCCACTTGTTAAATTCCTCCACTGCTTCCACCCTTTGCTCTTAGTTCATTGGAGTTACGATTTCCAATTTGCATGTTTTCTTAGTGCGGTGCACCTTGTGTGACTGGCCGTTCCTGATACAGATGATTGATGAAGTCTGCTGGTGTACTGTAAGTGGAGCTACTATGGGCTGAGTTCTAACAGAGCTCACAGAGTCTCGCAGCATCCCACTAGGTTACCGCGGGATACCACAGACACCACAGCTACTGCTCTACTCTGCTGCCAGTCAGGCATCGGAAAAGTCCAACATTTGGACCTCTCGCACAACACCTTTTTGTCAGACTACCAAAATTTCTTTTTAGCTTTGATCGTTTCTAATGTTAGTTGCTTGTGATTGAAGATTTTATGTTTTCTGACCACGTCTATCTGCGTTACGGATTTCTTGGGTTTGACATATGAAATCATGGAATACACCCCTCGGACCAAATGTTCCAGTGCCTTCTCCCAATCATCATAATCAAGTAGAGGGGAAAAGCTATGCGTCGTTCCGTTCCCCATTTTGATTTTTTTATTCAAATCCCCCAAATTATGAA